CTTCCCATCCTTGAGCCACGTCACAGCAGCTGCCCCGTCCGAGAGCTCTGCCCGCAGCTGGGCCTCCTCGCGCAGCCGAGCCGAGACTTTCTCCACATCGCCGCTCTTGTTAGTGATTCTTACTGCGGCGCCTGGGAGGGAGAGAAAGAGCTTCCTGTGAAATCCTCCTGCCCCACGTGAAGTCTGTATTATGTGGCAAGCTCTCCCTTGGCCCAGATCCTGAGGCATGCAATACAGAGTGGCTCGATTCACTTCAAGGGACCTCGTCCAGCTTTGCAATAGGGTCCCCGAGATGAGAATCCAGCCCCCCTGGATGCGTACGTCTTGCAGAGAACAATGCACAATGCTTTCTTCGTAATACTCAGCGTGAAGTCACAAACAACGCTGGATGGAGCTCTTAAACCATTTTCCTCAACGTTTCAAGGAAAATCCTCCAACAACAGCATGACCAAGTCCCAGACTCCAGGTCTGGCCATTCAACCCATCACTGAGGGAGCCCATAGTCTGCTCGGTCCTGCTAACCCCCCCAACAAATCCAGAAGAGTTCAGTGGGACTGGGCTTCGGCCTTGAGACCCCTTGCTGTACAATTTTATTTTCTTCCTGTAGAGCTACTTTCTCCCTGCTTGGCCTCTCTACCTATCTGTATCCATCCTCTCCTTCGCGATGCAAGCCCTGGAAAGGAGACCTCCTCACTTGCCACCTGCCACTGCTTTCTCAGCATCCACCCAGCACCATAAGTTTCACACCAGAGCTAAAAAGGGTGGATGCGTAACTGGCCTTGGTTTATCACAAGGTCAGGATCTGGATCTTCAACCCATGCACCCACGGTGCTAAGGCACCCTTCTCCAAGGGTAGGGCTACAAATGGGTGTAGAGAGTTTAATTTAACAAGGCATTTCTAACTCTGCCCTTAGTCGTGAAAACCCCATACTCTTTCTACATGCCAGCATCCCACCAAATTGCCAAATCTCTCTTTGTTTTAGCGTTATTTTTTAAACGGGTTTGCATTTGAGTCATTTGTTAGTCTATTTGTGCAAACCACATGGAAGGCAAATGTCTACAAGGTGAAATTCCCCTTAGAAAAGACCAGGCCAAAGCAATACAAACTCAGATGCACCATTTAGATCCCTAAATATGGGCTCAAGTAGGGGTGCGGTTGTGCACAGGCCTTCTTCATCCCACTGATGGCATTGTGTGGTCACCCAAACAGCTGGACTCTCCCATTAATGGTAGTTTAAATATTCCTCAATGAAGATTTCCACATGAGGATCTCCCAATCTTTCATTCATTGAGCTTTGTATTGCAAAGCAGGTAGATATGGTCTTCACTGCAGAAAGAGGGCAGTTTAGGCACAGCTCCATTCTGCTGCCCTTACTAACAAGGACCGCGTCCCTGCTGCTCAACAGATGTCAGCATCGTGGTCCATGAGGCTGCTTAAGCAAGAAGGTGAGAAGCAAGGTTTGTTTGGATGATACCTACTAAACCAGGAGTGTCAAACTCAACTTGTGCCCTGGGTCGGATTTGGACTTCAGGGTTCGTCGTGGGCGAGATCTGGCCTGGAGCCTGGGGCAGCAGCAGCAGTGGTGAGAGGGGCAAGAAAGCACTTAATGTGGAGGAGGCAGCACGAATGGAGGCAGGCCGGGCAGCAGCAAGAGCTGCCCAAGCTGGCAAGGGCCGTATCAACCAGGGCCACGAGCCCTGGATGCTGCAGCAGGCAAAAGACATACCCCCGAGCTCTGTGACCCATCACTCGCACCAGATGGAGTAACTGCATGGGGCAGATCCAGCTTACGGCCAGCATATTTGGCATCCCTGTAACTAAACTACGAGAAACAAATATATGGAAGCATATATTTGGTCCAATAAAACATATCAACCCCCAAAACCTCGCTTCTCCTGGCCCAGCATGGCTATAGCAACCCATCAACCCTAAGAAATAAGGTGTCAGGAAAGCACCAGCACCTGGCCTTGAGATGGGTACAGTATTGAAGCCGTCTTGGCATCGGAAGCAGTGCAACTGTGCTCTCAGAGCAAGATGCTAACTCGCTCTCCCAATGCACAGTGCAAATGCCACTAAAATGCTTCTGGTTCACAAGGCAGGCTCTGCTGAGAAGCACGGCCGTGTCTGACAGCGCTGCAGCTAGGCAGGCAGGTTTGCAGCATAAATGTAGCTACAGTCCAGCGTGCCGTCTTGTAATAGTGCCTACAGTCCCAGCTCCCCAAGCTCCCTGTCCTAACAGCTGCCCCTGCTTTTCTGGCTGAAGGAAGGAAATCAATGCACATACCTCTTATTCTCATCTTGGTACTGCTTTCAACATTGTTGGCGACAAACTTCACCTCCGCCCCATCGTCCTTCTTGGTCACGTTCTTTATGATGAGGATGTGGGTGGTCTTGGTTGTCTTAATGATATAGATGTCACTGCTCTCTAAGGCTTTGCCATTAAGGTACCATGTGCCAGAACAAATGGTTGTGAGGTCAATAGAAAAGGTAGCATCCCCTCCTGCTACGGCTTCGACCGCTGTCAGTGGAGTTCGCACGGCCAGGGCCGGTTCTGTTGGAGAAGAGGGAGAGGTAAACCCGAAGGCATGAGGCTGTCGTGCTGCAAAGCGATGTCTTGTATACCCCAAACTCTTAAAGGGAAGAAAAGGGAAACCAAAGACAAGAAGCCAATATGGGGAAGTCTTTGAGAAGGCCACATCCATTGAAGGCAATGGGCATGTGCCTGGGGACGCACCACCAGCAACTGATTATAGCATCGTAAATAGTAGGGGCAGAGGTCTAAACCCTTCCAAATCCCAGTAAACACCCTCAAAAATAGAAATAATTCTGGGAACGGGCCAGACCCCAGTGCGTGCTGCCTCCCGTGCCCCAGAGAGGGTTGATTCTTGAAGAAGACAAGTTTTCAACCAGGCCTACCCAACAATGTGACCGCATTGCTAGCCAACGGGGTTGTCTGCATCCCTGTGTTTGGGGCTCACCCAGATGCTGGGATCCCAGGAACTCCAGGTAAGGGCTCTGCCCGTAGCTGTTGACAGCAGAAACGCGGAACTGGTAATCTCCCTCTTCCGACAGGTCGCTCACTGTGAATTCGGGGACGGGGACGGGAGACTCGTGACACCGCATCCAGGTGAAGCCCATCAGTTTCTTGCGTTCTACGACATAGCCGTCAATGGGGATGGGGCGGTCTGTCTTGGGTGGGGACCAAGCTAGCGTCACTGAGGTTTCTGTTTTATTTTTCACCACAGGGTTAGTTGGAGGATGGGAGGGAGGCTTCCTGGGAGCTGTACGGGGATAAAGACAAAGAGCGAACCTTACCGTAAAGTAAAAAAGCCACCGCACAGAAGAGCGTGCTGAAAGCTGCTTGTATGGCTACTGGGATTAGCATTCACGCCCCCCGTGCTCACACCAACACATCGGGCTCAAAAGTTATATCAGTCGTGATTTGAAATGGGGAGAGGATTTGAAGACAGATCCTTCCCCGTGAAGTATTGCATCCCTGCCCAAACTCACACAAGCCTATAGTTTCCCTGGATCACGGCTGTCCAGGTGCAGTTGCCTCTCCTGTTGCCATGCAGTGCGGAGGGACAGCTTGCCCCTGGAGGCCATCCCCACAACGTGTGGCCTGGATATCCTCGCATCGGGTGCAGCCACACCAAAGTTGGGCAGCCCTGGCCCAGGCAAACACACAGACCATAACCCCTACACAACATTATTGACCACCTGTGCACACACACATATGCGTGCATACACAGTGCCACTAACTCACACCCCAGAGGTACTGATTTCTCTGCACCCACATTAGTGCTAAGACACACATGGTACCTTTAACACTTATGTGCAGACCCACCAGATTATTGCCCCACACACATACAGTGCTATTGAACTCCTGCATGCGCGCACACACACACACCCTATTCAGGGTCCAGTTTTGACCAGAAAATACCACTACCTGCTTCCCAGACCAGATGTACACTTTAGCACAGAATTACCACACAGTATTACTGACGCCCGCCTCCTGCACATCCAGCAAGACCCTACTTTCTCATATGCACAAATCATCATGGACTCTCCTTACACACCTGTGAGGCTCACACACATGCACACTCGCACCTTTCTTCACATACCTGCATGAACTATCCACAGACATTATTTCACACATGCGTGCAAAACACTACACTCCCACATCTTATACATACACCATATTTAATAGAGAGCGAGCGAGCAACTTTCACTTTGTTTTTCTATTATTTCATTGAAGATAAATTTAAAAAAAAATAGCTCTCCAACAGTCTGGGGGAAAAGAAATATCTACATGCTTAAAGTTACCCTGGTGAGATGCAGCTTGATTGGGATTCATTAGATTAGGACATTTGTTCGTTAGAACGTTAGTTAAAATCAAGCCTTTATTTCAACTTTTTTGCTGTTCACTTAGGGACTTTAAAGAGACCTGTATAAATACAGGAATAGTGGCTAGTGCTGTGAATTCAGGGAGAACCTAAGAGGGTCGTCTGCTGAAGGAAAAGTATGGTATTTGAATAATTACATTTGCTCTTATGCAGCACCCTTCATCAGTAAATAGGTCAGAAATATATTACCTCTGTAGGAACTGGGCTTGAGGATCACACTAAAAAAAGTCAGGAACTTGAGTTTTGCCATTAACCATCCAGCAGGCTTAATTTTCCGATCCCAACTGCACACCCCGGCCAGCTTCCTGGAAGGCTTCTGAGTAGCGTAGTCCAAGAGGCAATTTTCTGTACTAACTATGTTATAATAAGAAGAGGGCCTGGTAGCAGAGCAGTGACAGCATCTCACTTAGGATCGAAAGGCAGAAGTTTGAGCCTCACTCTGGACTTGCACGGATGCCCTCCCAAAGTCAATTCGAGTGGAAATGCATGCCTGGTCATTCAGGCTGGGGAGTCAAAACCTTCCAAATGTGATGCTGGCTACTTCGTATTCTAGCATGTTGTTGGCAATTGAAAACGGTGCTTCTTCAATGTCCTAGCTCCATGGGCCACTTCAGCTGGGACAGGCTTTGACCTTTTCTGATCATGAGAGTCAACACCGGAGCATGTTCGAATCACCGTGCACTAAGTCCCCTCCCTATTTTGCTGATGTATATCCAGTGTAATTTGTGTGATAGCAGCTGAGCGCCTCTAGAATGAGAGCAGATTTCTGCCCTCTGGACATACGCCTCTGCATCGCCAAACAGCCATACCAGGAGGGAGAAGATTTGTGTCAAGATAAGAGAGCCACTGGTGCAATGGCCCCTGCATTCCTGCTGTCAGGAATATGTGACATTGCTGTAAAAGTGGACTCCTTGCACGTGCACTCGTTGAGCCAGGAGCCATCATTTATGGTCTGGTTGTCCCTTACACAACAGGACAGGACATCCTGGCCATAACGTAAGTCTTTTCCATGCCAAGGCACCTGTGCTAGGGGCATCATCTTGTCATTTCATAGAGCAACATTCCTCCCCTGCCACCTGCTCCAATAATAAACTAGAACATTTTGGCCCAGACTCGCAACTGATGTAAGCTGGTATAGCTCCACTGAGTTCAGTACCAGCTGCGGATCTGGCTCTGAAACCATAATAGGGCCAGCCTCAGAGATAAGTGATAGAAAAACTGGACAGGTGAAAACTGAGGCAGGGTCAATGACTGAATGCTGGAGCTTTGGAGTCGCATGTTTTTACAGCTGCCTCTGTTGCTTGACACATAGGGTGCTAACAGATGTGCAGCTCTCTACTGTAACTCATGGTGCTTCACAGAAAGCGCAATGTCTTACAATGAATCCCTGGACCCAACAGATGTTCACTGTTTGGTTGGGGTGGAGAATTCAGCTCCATTTTGGAGCTCATCCAGTGAAGAGAGGCTGCATGTTTGCAGCCTTTCTCCCCTAGCCCCTTTCCCTACCCAGCCCTACTGTCTTCAGGACTAGAGGGGGCAGAAGGCAGGGAAGGGAGCTCTGCTCTGGAGTTTGCCCAGCCTGGGCTTGAAGGTGGACTGGAGCTCCCCCCAAGATATGAGATCGTCTTGGTTCTCTTAATGATATATATATATATATATAAACACCTTTTGTCAGGGCACACCTGTAGAGTGCTTTTAGGGGGCCAAATGTGCAACAATTATTACTTTTGTCAGTGCCCATAGGCTTTGCCTCTCTCTGCACTGAAGAGATTTTAAGACTCTCCCCTCTGTCCTGTTGCTGACAACCAACATTAGCACAAAATGCCAGCCTCATCTGTAAGACCCTTTGTAACATGAGCTCCCAAAAGACACACCTGTCTGCTGTCTGTCTCACCCATCACCATTTCTAAGCCAAGAAGGACAATTTATTTAGCTGTGTATGCAGACCCAGTTCCTTGTGTTTGGAAAAATCTTGAAGAAGGCAACAGCCATGTAAATAAAATTGTCCCTAGAAATGAGCCCCAGCTTTGAGGCCCCTGAGTTTTGCTTTGATACTCTATCAAACTATCTATAGTAGGAACTCTAGTTTTTTGCTTCTGGAACTAATTGTATAACAAAGGGTATCCAAACTATCCATGTTTTATATTTACTTTCACTGATTAGTTTGGAAATCCTTGACCAAGACTGAAGTCAGAGTAAAACAGCTGGCTATCTGGGCTAAATGCCTCCTGACCAGCAACACTCCCAGTGGTAGAGAGCCTGGAAATAGTCTGATATTTTCCCTTCCCAAATCTACCATTGATTCAGGGGATGTTTTCAAATCAAAAGAAAGGTGTAATTGCAACACATGCTAGCAGACCTTTGCTACCTGAGCCTCGCTGGTCTACATAACAATAGAAGACTGGGGTAGCAACCAGAATACAAGCTCTCCAGTGACCATGGGTATGTGTATTAGTTGCTCTAAAATGCCAAAGTCCATGTCCCCATACCCTCTCAGCTATTGTCATCCCTACTAGCTAGATTAAGCTACTATAAGTCTGCTGCCATTTTGTCTTTCCTGAAGACTGTTACAGAGAGGAAATACACACACACACACACACACACACACACACACACACACACACACACACACACACACACACACACACACACACACACACATGCAGATGCACACACTGCTCTTCCTCCCCCCCCAAATTTTTGTGCTCTCTTGCTCACTTTTATAATGGTGCAGATACAAAAACTTCTGTCAACTCCATAGAGCATCTAATTTACCCTAATACATTAGTTATTAGTGTTAGCATCTAATTTCATCCCATTTAGACCGCTGGTTAAAATCAGGCCCTTATTTCAACATTTCCCCATCCCTGTTCACTCAGGGACTTTAAAGCATGAGACCTGTATAAATACAGGAATAGTAGTTAGTGCTGTGAATCCTGGGAGAACTTAAGAGGGTCATCTGCTGGAGGCAAAGTATGGTAAATTAGTGCTAACACTAATAACCATTTGGACTGAGCGCATCATCTTGGTGGGAAAGTGCAACGTGCATCAAAAACTGAAAGCAGAGCTTACTGCAGACAGCAAACTGGGTGGATGTTCTGCATTCGTCTGCCAGGAACGCAATCTCCCCAGCATCCTCCATCTTGCAGTCTCGGATGATCATGGTATGTTGCTTGCCCAATGAGGTGATGTAGATTCGGTTGCTGGGCTTCAATTCTTCCTTATTCTTCAGCCAGCGGATGTTCGGACACTCGTTGGCCAGCTCCACGCAGAATATCGCTGTATCATTTACCCCGACTGCAGTCTTGCGTGGCAGCTTCTTAATGATGTTCCCTTTGAGAAATAAAGTAACCAAAATCATATGTCAGACTTGAAATACTTGAGCTTCACTGCACTGCCCAGATCGGCTGGATCAACACAATGTCAATAGCTCCAGCTTAAATGCAATATATATTTTTGATTCAAGAAGTCTTGGGGGAAATTCTAGATCAGAATGGGCTATTGCAATGATTTCTTCCAGACTTCAATCCATGGAGCCATAAAAGGGGGATAGTAAATTCTGTAGTAGATGGCTACAATCAACTGTACTTGCAGTTTAGGATCTGATGCGTCTTCTGTTGGGAAAATACTGTGTGCGTTGCCTTGGCAAGGGAAGCATTTAATTATGGGAGACAAGGCTGTTTGGGTGAATCTGATATCTTTTATTAGACCAACTAAAATAGTTGGAAAAAAATTAATTATGGTAGGCTTTTATCATGTGCCATGACCCATATTAATCCCTTCCTTAAGGAAGCCAGCATGCATCTGAGAACAGGTAGGTCCCTGGAGGGATACTGCTATGGACTCCCATACATTTATCTAATTAATAGCATAATTGATGCCCACACTACATTCCCTCAACCTATGAGGAAATAGCTGTGAGATCCTCAGGTGATTTTTAAAAACAATTAAATCAGACCTGCCCATTCCCATGGAGTCACTTATGGTGGTGCTTATGGTGTTTCCCCCTTATTGTAACTTTGACATTTCCATAACCTGCTAGGAAAAGCTCAAAGTTACAGGGCAAAACTGTCCACAGGTAACTTCAGTCAGATTTTCAGGGAAACTCTGTTATTGCCAAGGACATTTTGGATGTGGAACACCCTCTAAAACGAAAGATCAAAGCTATCCTCATCAGAGTTATTCAGATTAAACTCTGGCAGTGGATTTTATAAGGTTCATTGTGAATTGCTCAGGAATTTAGGATTCACTCTGGTGGGCCAAAGACATCCTCTCTATCAGTGGTATCAATGTCCCAACTGTGGAAGTGCCCAATACAAGTGTATGATGATGTGACAGTGAAGGGGAAAGATCCTTTCCAACTCCCACGTGAGATCACTTTACACCCTATAGCAGGAGGTCCGGTTACACATGCAAAATTTCCTTTGCCTGTGAAGCTACAAATGTTATTAAGGGCTGTAACATTATTTAGGCATGGGTGGGGTTTTCTTTCACAAGGCTTTAAAGGAGTCATTAATGTAGTTATGCTGTATCTATATGCCGGCCCTCTGTGAAGCCATGAACACTACAGGAAGATTGTGCAGATGCTCTGAAACCATCTCTGAATCTTACAATCACACAATCAATCAGGGAGCCCATAATATGCCCCCAATTACAATCACAATTTCTTTAACTTTTTGAACCCTCGTATCTCTTTGGGCCTTTTTATCCCACTATGCCCACACTTACCAACATGCACACGTGGCCATTTGTTTGCGGATGCAAAACATGCACTTGTATATGCAAATCTAACACATGATCAGGGTCCCGCTGTCTTCTGCCACCAGGCTCGCAATGACTGTGTCAATGGGAGTAAGGGCAGACCATAAATAGGAAGGACCAGATGCAGTTCCCTGCATTTTTCAATGGGGTCTAGTGGAGGTGCTTGCCATTTACACAACAGCAAGCAAAATCAGAATCAGGGCCAGAGCTCACGGATGCGTATTTGCAGATCCCCGTTCCTGCTGGTGAATCAGTAGGCTCAACATAGTTCTGTGTTTCTGAGCCCTCCATTACTCTAAACCCTACACTTCAGCGCAGAGAAACCCTAACCCACCACACCTTGGGAAAAGTGGGATCTCAGTTTGGATCTCCCTCCAAATTTTGCCACTGGATCCTAAGCTGTGTAGCCAGCCAAGTCAAACCTCTGGATCAGAGCAGCTCTCAGCTTCAGGTACAACTGGATCCAGATCTAAACCCTGCAATATTGCATGTTTTACCTACTAGCGACTAATCTGCATGCAAGAATTACAAGTTTGCTACTGAGTCCAGGTAAGGGCCAGATTTCTGTATGTGTTCTGCTGCTTTCAGTTGTAGTTAGACACACGGTCCCAAATCCTCTCGCCCAACCAAGACAAACTTTTGACCAGAGATGGAGACTTCCCCATTAGCAGCCCATTCAAGGAATTACCTTAGCAGCAGTTCATGCCTTCCAAGATGACAGTCGTACTACATTTTACTGGTCAAATGGTAAAAGCTAGCTGCAAACCCCACTTAAAACCATCAGCTCAGCCAGGAAAAGATTCTGATTCCAGCAATTGATAAATGGTAAGGAGCAAGGTTAGAAAGGGAGGAAAATAAACCCAATGGGAGTGAATACGTTCTCTCCCTCTCACCTTGGACGGTCAGTTCTGCAATGGTCCTGCTCCCTTCTTTCATTTCGCAGATGTAGACAGCGTCGTCATCCGTGGTGACGTTCTGGATGGTGAGCCGGCGGTGCGTTCCCTCTTCTTCAATGTTGTACTTCTTGCTTTGCTGGAGTTTGGTCTCCTCCTTGAACCAGGCGGTCTCTGTGCTTGGGACAGGCACCTCGCACTGGAACATGGCAGACTCTTTCTCCCGAACTTCAACATCCTCCAGCTTTGTCTTGAAAGGAACCATAGGCTCTGGGGAAAGGGAGACAAGAAATGAGAACTTGCAAGGCCTTGGAGGTATGGACAGTGGGAACCCATAATCCAAACAGCTTGCGCGTTATCGCCAACTTTTGCTGCGATTTGCATTGTGCTGGCATCCCAAGGTTTGATGCCGGGATCAAGCCCCGTTGTGGTGGGAGCTGAACAAACGTGTTCTGCCACTGATGAACACGAGCTGACCAGGACAAGCGTTTCAGCACAGTTCACAGAGTTTAAGACCAGAAAGGGCCTTTTATCTATCCAGTCTGACTGCTCACATAACCCAGGCCACAAAGCTTCACCCTAACATAACACTGTAAGGCTAAAGACACAAAAAATATGTCAAGATGACAAACGGGTTTAGGGGAGAAGAACCCAAGGTAACAACATTAGGAGGTGAGATGAATGCAAAACTGAGCCTGCCTTTTGCATCGTCGTTACAACAAATAATATGCTGCATGCACAATGGAGGGGAGCCAGTGGGAAAGATGTGGAAGGGAAGTGGGGAGAGGTCTGTGGATGCTCCTTTCATGGGAAGGACAAGAAGCATGTGTTTATTGTAGTGGAGAAGGAGGGACGTGGGGCAGAGGGCATTCAGCACTGTGGATCTTGCTCCTTGTGTTTTGGGAACTCAGCCCGATCAAGCCATCACTCGCAGGCTGGACAAGATTATCTATGAGCTGTGTTTCCACGCAATTCAATCACAGCTAATCAAGGGGAGGGTGGTATACCTGCTCTTGCACTTCTTTTGCATGAGGATCTCAAAACACTTTATAGAGACAGCTCTCCGGTGGAGAAACTAAGGCACAGAGAAGAGTCGGATACAAACCCAAGGTCAGATACAAGCTTATGGCAGAACAAGGGACTGACCACGGGTCTCCTAAGCCCTATCCTAGCACTCTGATCACAGGACAATCCTTCCTTAGCAACACCACCAGACCCAGGGATACAGCCCGGTTCATCTACCTCCCCGTTCTCAGCTTCCCTTAATGGATCACAGCTTCTGTTCAAAACTTTTTTGTTTCCACCTACGTGCAAATGCTGAGCCAGGGCATCAAGGGGATACACATTATAAACAGAACAGAGGGATTTAGCTCTCTGAGCTCGGTAACTCAGCTGGCAGCCACCATCTTACAGCACTTTGAAAATGGATCTTTTGCAACCCCTAATACATGAACATGTAACAGGAGAGAGAAAAGTTGGCACTTGTTGAAAGACTAGGTGGGAACAGGTTGTGCTCAAAGCAACAGGGAAATGACTGAGGAGCCTTGTAACATGCTAGAATAGCCAATGCCTCCTGCTGGACAGACTGCCAGAGCCCAACCAGCTGTATGCTGGATGGCAGTGGGGGCAAACCTTTCTGGTAGGCATGCCACAAATTAGCCCTGCACCTTCCCCAGGTGCCACTTCAATCCCTTTCCCCTGCCAGATCTGCTGCTCAGCTTTCTGCTCCCTGCCCTACCTGCCACTGTTGTCCCTGCTCCCTCCCTGATCTTCTACAGGCCACACACCAAGACGGCTCTGCTACGTGTGGTATGCAATATGCATGCCACTGCTTGGCCACCCATGCTCTAGGCACTGGTGGCACACAAAGATCAGGCCCTGAACCATGAAGTTGTGCTCCGGAGATAAGGAGCCTCTGTTTTGCAGAATTCAGGGGATGCGGTATATTTTGGATGGAAGGATTTTCCTGCTAGCTTGACTTACATCTCCAGAGAGGACACACAAATCATCCATCACCTCGGAGGAAGAAAATGGAACAAGGGCACCTGTTGCTGCAGGGTGCCAGTAATAGGGTGATTTGGGAAGTCTTGAATGGATTACGTGCACTGAGAAATAACTGGGAACTTGTGCAAGGTGCAGCCTAGACCACAACCAGTTTCCAAGTGGTGACAGGGGGAAAAGGGCATGAGCTCCACTGACCAAATGTGCTTATTACCTTGGAAAGATTAAACTGCTGCCTCAACCTGTCTCCTGAGCAAATCTAAGTGTATCTATATGGAAGGGAGTCTAAACGGGTGTAACGTACACATCTTCTGACCCCCTCGGCACGTAAAATTACCTTCCACCCAGGGACGGATGTGTAATGCACACCCCCGCAATACATACCACCTCTCAATTTATCCTGCTGTGTCTGAGAAAGTATGAGCTGATGTACCTTGCCTGAAGAGAGGGGTAGAGAGCAGGAAAGCACTAACCAGAGGGGACAAGACCTAAGGGGCCAACTTCAGAAATGACGTATGTTACAAGAGAGCGCCCACAGGAATGTGACAGGTATCCAGGCGGTAGCCACATTGCAGAGGCAGAAGCAATCAGGACTCGTGGCAGAGGTGATATCTAAGGGCACGTGATTCACGTGCTGAAGGGGTCAGAAAAAAGCACAAGATATACCAGTTTACCTTCGTGGGAACTCATTCCCATATGTGGAGCAATGAGGCAAATTCTCCACACCTGTCATTTTCCTTCCACTTTGCAATCACAGCATCTAACACAAACCAGAAAGCCCTCCTGGGAAGAGATGTGCATGCCTTAATTATAAACATCTAATAACAGAGGACATCCAGCTGAAAAAGATGCCTGAGCTATAGCCGCGGAGCTGAGTTTACGTCTGGTAGAGGTAGGTACAATTCCGCTGGTAGCCCCCTAGACTCAGCAACATCCTTTGAGAGCAGCCTAGCTTGGTCTGCCCTGCTCGTGCATTCATTGTGCAGCCTCTGGATGTTCCTGTGTGCTGTACAGAGGTGCAGCAAAAGTGTTGTAAGTGGTGAACAACAGTCAGAGCTGGAGTTCAAGCCAAGCAAAGACCTATTTGCATCTATTCTTTGTATTTGTGGCTGTTACACTAATACATTTGAGAGTGGCTGCAGTTCTGTTCCACATGGCAAAGTAGGCCTGCAACAACCATTCTTCCCTCCCCTCTCCCTTGCAAACTTCCACACTCATAGTCTCGCCTCTAAATTACCACGATGCACGCGTGCACACACACACACACAGCTCTAAACGTGCACTGCGTTTTCCATCAGGGAGCATGAAGGAGAAGGAGAGGGATACAGTGCCTTGATGATTTGGGCACACAAGTCCTAGAACCCCTAAATGAGGCCCCGTAATAGTCTCGTATCCATCTTATTAGTAAAGAAGCAGAAGCAGAGAGAGAATAGGTGACTTCTAAATGCCATACTGTAGGTCAAGGTGGCAGGACTATGAAAACAGCACAAGTCTTGACCCCATAATCAAGAGGTCCCTCTGCCTTGTGGACAATTAATATGTTTTGCAAGGGTCCTCTTTCCTCAGTCACTGGGGAGAAGAACGTACACACAAACTGCGACTTTAATATGAGTAACACCAACACTCATGCAAAATTTGCCCAACTTGATCATTTTCCCAGCTGTGACAACATTATAACATTTAGCAATGATCTCGATAAGGTCAGACGATCAGTGTATTTCACAGTTCTTTTTCTTATCAAGAAATATTAATTCAGGGAGGGTCACAGTCTAATTTAGTTTTCCCAGGAATGATCTGTCTCAATTAAAAAAGCTGCAGCTGAACTCAAACTGGCTACATGAATCAAGGACAATAAAAGTCCTTTTTTCAGATATGTGGAAGAAAAACAAGGGCGACATAGGTCCCCCGCTAAACCAACTGGGACAGCTGACTGCCAACACGCAGGAGAAAGCCAATCTGCTTCATGATTACTTTGTGTTGTTTTTTCACCAGCCCAAAGGGACCACCGGGGCGGGATGACCAGGGTGAGGGTGAATATATGCCCACTATAGGCATAGGTCTTGTGAGGGCACATCTTGAGAGGCTGGACCACGACAAATCAGCTGGTCTGGATAGGTTGCACCCAAGAGTGCTAAAGGAGCTGGCAGACATCATAGTGCAGCCACTGGCGAGGATATTCGAGAACTTGTGGTGCTCGGGTGAAGTACTTGAAGATTGGAAAAGAGCCAATGTGGTGCCCATCTTCAAGAAAGGGAGGAACAAAGACCCGGGAAACTACAGGCCAATCAGTTTGACCTCAATTCCTGGGAAGATCTTGGAAAAAATGAATAAAGAAACCATTCCTGACAGGCTAATAGAAGGCAACATTCAGAGGGACAGCCAGCATGGGTTTGTTGCGGGTAGGTCTTGCTTGACCAACCTCATTTCCTTCTATGACCAGGTGATGTATCACCTGGACAAAAGGGAAGAGGTTGATGTCATGTATTTGGACTTTAAAAAAGCCTTTGACCTGGTGTCCTATGATGTCCTCATGGAAAAATTGGGCAACTGCAGCCTTGACTACTCCGCAGTCCGATGGCTGAGGAACTGGCTCCGAGGTTGGACCCAGGGAGCGGTAGTTGATGGAACCAAATCGATATGGCGCTTGGTGACTAGCAGCGTACCCAAGGCTTCGTTCTCAGACCTGTGCTCTGTAATGTCTTCATAAACAATCTGGACACTGGTGTCAGAAGTGGACTGGCCAAGTTTGCTGATGACACCAAACTTTAGGGAAGAGTGTCCACACTTGAGGACTGGCTGGTGATCCAGGCCGACCTCGATAGGCTTGCAAGGTGGATGGATGGAAACGTGATGGTATTCAATATGGAGAAATGCAAGGTGCTCCACCTCAGGAAAAGAAAAACCGGCAGCACACTTATAGGTTCGGCAATGCTACGCTCACTAGCATCATAACTGAAAGAGACTTGGGGGTCTTGACTGACCACAAGATGAACATAAGCCACCAATGCGATACCGCAGCTGGTAAAGCAAACCAAACTCTGGCTTGCATCTACCGATGCATCTTGAGCAAATCCCAGGATGTCATCCTCCCAAAGTACTCAACCTTGGTGAGGCCATAGCTGGAGTACTGCACTCAATTCTGGGCTCCACAATTCAGGAAGGACATGGAGAAACTTGAGGGAGTCCAAAGGAGAGCCACACGCATGATCAGAGGGCAGAAAAACAAGCCTTGTGATGAGAGGCTGAGAGCCACGGGACTCTTCAGCCTG